TGGTCACCATGCAGGTGTAGAGGCCGGTGTCGGCCAGCAGCACGTGCGAGAAGTTGAGGGTGCCGTCGTTGAGCACGGCCAGGCGCGGGTGGCTCGAGGCGTGGCTCAGCACCGTCCCGTTGGGCAGCAGCCACCGCACCGACGACATGGACGGCGTCCGGCAGCGCAGCTCGGCCACGCGCCCCTCCGAGATGTTGAGGTCCGCGGGCGCGTCCATGATGAAGGGCGCCGAGCACTGGAAGGAGGTCTGGTCCACCTCCACCAGGAAGCGGCCCCGCATGTGCAGCGGGGCGTGGCAGCGGCCGCAGCAGGTGGAGTTGGTGGGGATGTACTCCCGCAGCCACCACGACAGCCAGAGGATGTCGCAGTCGCAGTCCCAGGGGTTGTGGTGCAGGTGCAGCTCCACCAGGTAGCGCAGCGGGGCGAACAGGTCGTGGGGCAGCGAGGACAGGTTGTTGTGGGCCAGGTTGAGCTCCACCAGCGCCGTCAGGTCGTCGAAGGCGTTGCGCTCGATCAGGTTGATCTGCGAGTTCATGATCCAGAGCTTTTTGAGGGATTTGAGCCCGTGGAAGGAGCCCGGTTTGATCTCGGGGAAGTTGTTGCCCGACATCTCCAGCTCCTCCAGGCCCACCAAGGGCGTCAGGTTGGGCATGTCCTTAATGTTGCACATCCCCAGGTTGAGGTACTTGAGGTTGTACAAGCCCTCGAAGGCGCCCTCGGAGATGTACTCGAGCTTCTTGAGCTCGCCCAGGTCGAGGCGCATGAGCGAGGGCACGCGGTTGAAGGCGTAGCTGGGGATGCTCTCGATGGGGTTGTTGCGCAGCCACAGCTCCCGCAGCTTGGACAGGTACTCGAAGGCGCCGCTGGGGATCACCGTCAGCCAGTTGTCGAAGAGCTCCAGGGTGTTGAGGCTGGCCAGGCCGTTGAAGGCGCCCACCTCGATCTGCCGGATGGCGTTCCTGCCCAGCTGCAGCACCTCCAGGTGGTGCAGGTGGCGGAAGGTGTCCGCCTGGATCATCTGGATGTTGTTCTCCATGAGGTTGAGATAGCGGGTGTTGGAGGGGATGCCGGGGGGCACCTCGGCCAGGCCGCGGCGGGTGCACACCACCTTGCTGAACTGGTTACTGCAGGAGCAGACGGAGGGGCAGCTCTGGGGGCCGGG